TTTGTATTCTCTATTGGTGAGAACACCAAAAGAGTTCTCAAAAATTAAAAAAATATTATTTTATAATTATTTTTATAAAAATTTGAAAAACATACAAGATTTTATAAAATCAAAATTACATTACATTAATGAAATTTTAAAGATAGATTACACGAGACTTTTTTTGCGCTTTTGAGCTTCAAATTTTTTTTTTTTAATTCAAACCAATAATAACGTGCCACGTATGGCGTTCTCAAGTGTTCTGAAAACCCTCAAACCAGAACGTGTTCTGGACTTAAATTTTTTTTTCTTTTTCTTTTGGGCCGAAAATTGTTCAGAACATGTCTGAGAACACATTGATGGACATGCTCTAATGGTGTTAGTAGTTGTGGTTTGATAGCTTATATAGTTCTGTGCTTGCCGAGTGGACCCTTGGAAGAGTGAGCTTGCTACTAACACCGTCATTGGTTTTGAGGTTTCTCCTTGTCCTAACTCATGGAATCGCTCCTTGAGTCACTCTCACTTGACACATATGGTGTAAGTGATCGAGAGCTGTGAGGTCTTTGCCGTTGACGGTTCAGTTTTGGGCCTCGTGTGAATTGCTTCTATTGCTTAGCGTTTTGCGTCGACCTTCTCTCTTGTCTCTGCTTATACATCACGAGCCGTGGATTGGTGAAGAACATTACAATATCGTCATCACTTTGTCGTATTCCAATTGCCGTTTGGCTTTTGTCGACTCGACGGACTGAAAACCGTTATGAATTATGTGTCCATGTTTTTATCTTTTTTGCCATAAATTCATCATTATAGGCTTATAATTTTGATTGTAAACCTAAAACGTTATAATTTTTAATGAAATATTTACCATTTAGCCAAAAAAAAAAAATTTGCATACAACATTAATTGGGAAAAAAATGATGTACGAATTTACATTTAGCTGTTTTGGTATAGCCAGAAAAGCATCAAATCTCAGGATCAAAATCTATAGCAAGTATAGTAAGTATATTAAAAAAGCAAAAATACAAATATATTTGCATGAGGAAACACATTTCTGAAAATTCAAGAATATTAGGTAAAACATGACACAACTAAACAACAAAGTGGCTGTAGTTTAGTGGTAAGAATTCCACGTTGTGGCCGTGGAGACCTGGGCTCGAATCCCAGCAGCCACACTTACATTTTTTTAATTTACTTTCCTCTTGCACAAGGGTGTATTTGTCTTTTCCTCCTTAAATCACCATCAGATCACAACCGTCCATCTCTCCACCTGTCCTCTCGTCTCATGCTCTCTGATCTCTAGTTCGTTTTTACTCGATCGCTTATTAACAACAATCGAAATCTTTAACGTGGTACGTTGTGAGATGCTGTATGAAGATGGAGTGAGTCTTTGATTTAAATTTCTTATGATTCCAACGTAATTTACATTTGCTAATCGTTACATATTCCTATTTTTTATGTTGGGTCTTAACATAATTCTTTTCATAAGAAGACAATATTGAAGAAAAAAGAAAAAAATCAAGCCAAATGTTGTTGTTGCTCTAACTCCTCCAAGCCATCTTCTTCTTCAGAGCTCAACGTATCTTCTTCGGATTCCTATTTTTATTCATTTTTTTTTTTGTTA